CTGTCTTTTTGTCTTATTGACTGTGTCTTTTGCCCTGCAAAAGCTTCTCAATTTTGAGAGGTCCCATTTATTACCATTTATTAATTGTTGTGCTCAGGGTCTGTGCTGTTGGTGTTTTATTTAGGAAATGGTCTCCGGTGCCAATGCGTTCAAGAGTGCTTCCTACTTTCTTTTCTATTAAGTTTAGTGTAACTAGATTTATGTTCAGGTCTTTGAAAACTTATTTATTTTTATGTGTGTGTATTTGGGCATGCATGTGCCATGGTGTGTGTGTGAAGGTCAGAGGACAACTTATGGGGTTGGTTCTTTCCTTCTACCACATGGGTCCTGGGGATTGAACTAAGCTGTCAGGCTTGGTAGCAAGCACCTTCCCCTGCTGAACCATCCCCCAGCTCAGAATGGTGATTTTCTGATGTCAGTATTCTTCCTTCCCACCTTTAAGTGTAAGTGTGTGGATGTTTATTACACTTGTGAGGACTCCTGTTAATTCATTTGCTCTAGTTTACTATTAGAAAAACAACTGAGAGAAATACATCTATATACGTAATCCTTATATACATTGAGAAATACATCTATATATATTTAATACTTATATACACTAAGAAATACATCTATACATACACAATACTTACATACACTGAGAAATACATCTATACATACATAATACTTACGTACACTGAGAAATACATCTACACATACGTAATACATACACTGAGAAATACATCTATACATATATAATACATACACTGAGAAATACATCTATACATACGCAATACTTACATACACTGAGAAATACATCTACACATACGTAATACTTATATACGCCAAGAAATACATCTACACATACGTAATACTTACATACACTGAGAAATACATCTACACATACGTAATACTTATATACACCAAGAAATACATCTACACATACGTAATACATTACACTGAGAAATACATCTATACATATGTAATACTTACATACACTGAGAAATACATCTATACATACACAATACATATATACACCGAGAGAGATGGATTTCTGAGGGAAGTTGCGTCATGTGGTTATGGAGGTGAGAAGGCCCTTGCATGACCTGCCATCTTTAGCTGGAGGCCTGGGGAAGCCAGTGCTGTCACTGAGTTTTGAGTCCTGAACCTGTGGGTAGACCCAAGGTCTGCCTGAGATGTGATAGATGTGATAGTTCTCAGCTCAGGTGGCAGTCAGGAGCCAGAAGGGTGTGTGTGTTGTTTTTTTTTTCTTTTTTTTCTTTTTTTCTGTCTTGTTCAACCCCACAACAGAATGGTGGGTATCTGTTGGACAGGGATATCTCTTTTACAGAATCACCAATTCCAGGCCTGTTTCTCCCAGAAACATCCTCCAGACACCCAGAAATCATATTCATTCTGGGTACTTTAAAGCCAGTCCAGGTGACTTGTAAAATTCATCCTCATAGGTGTGCTCAAATTGTCTAGACCTTACCATTGGAAGGAAGCTAAGGTTAGAAAGTACTGTTGGCCCCTAGCCCAGGACACTTGTTCCCTGTAGGAAGCTGTGGAGTGACTCTTCAATGGCATGGTCACTAACTTGTTGACCTTAGTTTTGGAAGGAGAGGTCCACCTTGTTGTGAAAGCCGTAGGGTCACTGAAGTGTTCTTGACTGACCAGCTCCTGAGTACTAAAGTATGTGGGAGAGCACATGGGGTGGCTGGTTGGGGAGAAGGAAGTAGGTGCTGAGCAAGTCTGGTGACCTGAGTTTACTCCCCAGAGCCTGGTCGGGGAAAGCATTCCCGTGACCTGTGTGTGCGCCATGGCACATATGGGCTCACACAGGCACACATCATACACCTATACACACACCAAATACAATAAAAATAAGTATATCTGAAAGTGCCCAGCACGTTTTGTGACCTGCAGCAAACAACGAATTGCGTTCTCGGGCTTCTTGTTTTCTTTCTTGTTTTCAATACAGATATTGGTGGAGCAGTGAGCCTTCTCTTAGAAGTGCCAGACTGAAGTATTTTTTTGGGCTGTGAAGTTCTGAAAGTGTTCATCTAAAGCTCTGTATACACCACTGTCTTTCATGCCCACTAACTCTACCCTCCCCCTTTCTCCTTATGGATTAGATGGCCTCTCCAGAAGAGAAATGTCAGCAAGTTCTGGAGCCCCCTTATGATGAAATGTTTGCGGCTCATTTAAGGTAATCTGTTGGCAGTAGGAAAAATCAACACACACAGATGCATGCATGTAACACATCACTAGATTCGTGCAGACTTTATCATGTATCATTGTTTGCTTGAAACAGTGAATAATTAACTTGGAAAAGTGGACAAATGTGTCATGTGCCTCTGTGTCACACTTTTATTTCTACTGACTGGACTGTCTTTATTAGTCAGTTGTAGTGCCTAACTGAGGTCTCGCTTTTCTTATGGAAATAATGTGGTTTTTAATATCTTTGCCTTGGAGGAAAAAAAATCTGAGTTGAGCAAAACAGAAACTTCTCTTTATTGACATGATGTGTCAGGTGGTTGAGGCGGAACTTTACATCCTAAAGCCATGTGCACAGCGTTGTCCTCTGCCTGCTGCATGCCTATTGTCGTTCAGAGCAAGCTGGGCCAGGCCTTTGGAAGAGCAGGAGGAGGTCACTATGTTCCAACTTTTAGCAAGAGGCACCTCCTGCTTTCCCTTCTCTGTTCTCTCTGCAGCGGGGTTCCAGGCGTGGGGTGAGCTGGCTCTGGCTGCCAGCAGGAGCCTGGCTGGGGTCTCAGAGGCCCAGAGGCCCGCTGACAGCACGGAGCACCAGCCCTGCTTGTCACCAGTCCCCTACTCAGAACAGCTGAACTCTTGCCCTCCCATCTGGGACCGGGCAGAGAAGTGTCTGTGTGGGGTTTCCCTTTCCACTGGTTGCCGTCAGTCAAATGGCTTGTGTTTCCTCCATGGTGGTCCTCTGCCAAGCAGGAGCTACCTTCCAGGAGCAGTAGAGAGTGGGCGAGGTGTGTGATAGAGTGCACTCTGGACTGATGTGCATCTGGGTGCCATGTGTAGATGCTCTTGAGCCTCTCATCTCTTTTCCAGGTGTACCTATGCTGTGGGGAATCACGACTTCATAGAGGCCTACAAGTGCCAGACGGTGATTGTCCAATATCCTTTAACCTGAGTGCGGGCATTGTGGGCACACACGCATGGCCATTCCCAGCTTTCCGTGTGGGCACTTGGGACCCCGACTCCGGTCCTCGGGCTTGCACCAGAAGCACTCTGACCACTGAGTTGTCCCTAGCTCCAAGAATCATGTTTTGTTCGTGTTGTTTTGAGACTGGAGCTGTCTGGCCGGGAAGGAAACTCACTGTGTAGACCAGACCGGACTTTGACTTCCTTCTGCCTCGCAAGTGCTGAGGTTAAAAGCATGCACTGTCATGCCAGGCCAAGAATGTTTTGACAATACTGCCTACATATGAAGATGCCATGGTGAAACCCAGTATTGTGCTCACTCACCTAAAGACCCATTAAGAACAGAATGTCTTGTAGTGGTTAAGGAACTGGTTAAGTCTTAGAGGTCCGGAACTCAGCCTAGATGGAGAGGAGTGCACTCAGATACATACATCACCTTTATTCCATCTGCTCACTGAAGAGTCATATTTTTAATATCAACTTCTGTAATGATCCTTATCAATGAGCATGCTAAGTATTTGAGAGCTCTAGATTTTTAGTTTATTTTGAAAACTACTGTGTGGAAATACACTCAGAAGAGAATGTTACTAACCAAGTCTCCCTAGAATTTAAGAATTCTAGTGTTGGTAAAATAAACCTTATACTATAGATTCTTGAGCACATAAATGTAGCTCATGATCAGTGGACTCAGAGAAAGCAAATACAAATGTAAAAGAGAAAAACCTTACAACGGGTTGGGGAGATGGCTCAGTAGGTTACGTACTTGTCCTGTAAGTGTGGGGACTTGAGTTGGATCCCCAGCACCCACAAAAAAGCAGGAGTGGTGGTGTGTGCTTGTAATCTCATCCCTGGGGAACTGGCAGATCCCTGGGGGATGAGCTTCAGATCCCAGCGAGAGAGTCTGTCTCAAGAAAGGAGGTGGGCAGCCTGAAGAATTACACCCACAGTTGACATCTAGACACACACACACACACACACACACACTCACTCACTCACTCACTCACACACACATGCATGCACATATACACGCAATCTTTTTTTTTTTTAATGGGGGTGGGGGGAGGCTGGCCTGGCACTTCCCTCTCCAGTGCTAGCATTAAAGGAGAGCCACAATGCCTGGTCTACATGAACAGTTATAATAAAGTCTTGTTTCAGAGGAGATCTGTATGAAGTGAACACATTGAGTCTACTTGGCTGCCCACACATGGATGTTGTGGTGTGTTTTCTATCGTCCAGATTTGACTGCTTCGGCACAGTCATCTAAAGAGCAGGCCTCGCCCCTTAGTCTGATTTACTAAGTGCAGCATGTCTTAGATTCTGTGTGTCATACCTTCCTTAATGCAGCACATCGTTCCTGCGGGCATTCCAGGCTCACAAAGAAGAAAACTGGTAAGTATCAACAGAAATAGCTGGAGATCAGTAAATGATGTTGATGTGGGCTGGGGTTAGACTGAAATGGCCAAGCGGACAGGTTGGGTACAATATTTCCGTAGTAAATGCTACTTCAGTATTTCTGTTATGGAAATATTTACTAAGTAACCATGGTTCCCCCTTGTTTTAGTTTTTAACTTTTGCTTTTAGACATAGGTTAAAGGCACACTATAGTTCCTTTGGATTATTTTAAATTTCTTGAAGACTAACCTTAAGATTAATGATTTATTAGCAAACTAGGAAAATACTTAAATGTTGTTTACACTAGAGTTAGCCAGAGGCCTTTCACAGACGACCAACCCAGTCCTTTCCTTAACACGTTTTTTCTTCAGTGCTGGTGCTTGAACCCAGGTCCTTGCATGTGCTGGGCAAGCATTCTGCCGCTTAGTATATTCTTACATCTTTTAAAGCTTTTTTTTGAGACAGGGTTTCTTCTGCCCTAGGTCAGCCTGAAAACTCACTGTAGCAGGAGATGACTTTGAACTTCATTCCATTGCTTTAATGCTGAAGCCACAGGCACGTGCCACTGTGTCCCGTTTATACAGTGCTGGGGACCAAACCCAGGGCCTGTGCGTGCTAGGCAGGTGCTCTGCTCTACCTGAGCTACATCCTTAGCCCCCGTTTTTGAGGGGCAGTTATGGGAGAAGTCTGAGGCAGGATCTTTCTTTGTAGTTTATGCTGGCCTGGCAGTTCTCATTCTCCAGCCTCAGCCTCCCAAATGTTATGATTACAGATGGGAGTCTTCATATCTGATGCACCTTTTTCCCTTTTTTTTTTTTTTTTTTTTTTTTGGTTTAGGGTTTCTCAGTGTAGCCCTGGCTATCTTGGAACTCGCTCTGTAGACCAGGCTGACCTCGAACTCAGGGATCTGCCTGCCTCTGCCTCCTGAGTGCTGGGAGTAAAGGCATACGCCACCACCAAGCAGTTGCACTTTTTCTTCTCCACGTGTAGACTTAGCGTCCACATGAATGTAGCGCAGTGCTGGAAGCTAGATGTTCACAGAGCATTGATGATTGTGTGAATTCTACATCCTGGCTCCTCCTTGGAGCCTCCGTGTTTTTACATGGAGCTGTTTGCTGCTGCTGGGGAGTTAGAGAAGGACAAAGTTCTGGGAGCTCCCAGCCAGACCCAGGTCGATTTTCCTGAGCAGGGTTGGGACAGTGGTGTGGAGTAAGAAGTGAGTATTTGGCCAGGAAGTCTGAGGTTGCAGTGTGACAGATGTGGACCAAAGCCACCATCCACGTTGGAGGGTGTGGACCTGGTTCTGGGTGGTCGCCTTGGGTGTAGTAGTAGGATGTTGGACCTTTTAACTCTGCAAACATATTTGCCTTTTGCCCTTAGGGCTCTGCCCGTCATGTATGCAGTAGCACTTGACCTTCGGATATTTGCCAATAATGTAAGTTCAATTTCCAGTTGCTGTTATTTTACATTTAAATCTGTTGAGTGACTACTGCTTAATTGCCATGTCTTGCTTCCTGAAAGTATTGAGGGATGAACAGAAAGTGGGATATATCTGGGGCAGGAAGGGAAAGACTAGGAGGCAGCTTGGCTGGTCATCCTCTGGTCCATGCAGACAGAGCTTTTCTGTGTGGAGGGAGATGGGTGCTGAGTAGAAGGATTCTGGAGCAATTTTACATCCTCTTCTACTTCTAAGATGTGGCCTGTGCTCAAGATAGCTTGATGTAGGTCTAGGTAGTGGCTGAGGGGTTCAGACCCTGGATTTTACAGGGGAGCAGTATACATCAGCTCTGGAGCCACAGAAGCATCTTTTGGGGCTAAGTCCCTTGTTACAGTTTTTAAAGCGGTTGGGGATTTCTGGTTCCAGACCAGCTGCCCATTGTCCTTCTCACAAAGGCAGTTGCAGGCCTGGAGATGTGAGAGTTTACATAGCTCTGTGACAAGGAGAGAAGGATTGGGCTTCCCATCTGTCCTGATGAAGGGCCTGGCAAGGAGAGTGTGACATGCTCCAGGCAGTGAGGAACCCTCTAGGAGGCAGAGGGGGATCCCCACAAGACAGCACTTTCTGACAGACTCTGTTCCAGTGGTGCACAAACAGTCTGCAGCAGCAGTGGGGGTCCTCAGCCCCGACCCACTTGCCAGCAAAGAGGTAGGGTCTCTGCTCTCCCACTAACACAGGGAGACCAACAGAGACCTGCTGAAACGGCGCCTACCTAAGGCCTGTAGCTTTATAACACACACCCCAAGGGTCACTGATTACAAAGACTTCCCCCATATCCCACCACCAAGCTGATGAGGATTTTAAAACAGCCATCGTAACAATGTTTCAGTGGACAATTAGGAGCACCCCAAACAAATGAGAGCATTGGAGTTCTCAGCAAACAGAAAGTGCAAAAAAGAGCCAAGTGGGAATCTCAGACTGGAAAGACAGTAACTGAGGAAGATGGGGCTGGAGAGGTGGCTCGGTGGCTGAGGGCTCTTGCTCTCCTTACAGAGGATGAGTTTGATTTCCAGCACCCACACAGCAGCTCACAACCATCTAACTCCAGTCCTAGGCATCTGACACGTGCTTCTAGCCTGTGGGTACCAGAGGCACACATGGTACATGGACATACATGCAAGCAAAGCACTCATACACATTAAACAACAACACTAGTAGATCTGGCGGCTAATTTAAACAAACGAGAACAGAGTGGCATTACCTTCTGTCTCAGGCTCTCAAGCTCGTCCAGGTCAACAGAGACTGCCAGGGTCTCTCTGTCCTGCATGCATTCTATTGTCAGGTGCTGCTTTGTTGAGGCGTCTGGGACGGGGGAGGGAGGCATATTTCTAACACCTTTTAGATCATCATAACCAAAGCCCCCAGAACCACGTGCGTGTGTTTGCACTCGTGCTTGAGGAGGAAGAGACGGCCTCCGATGTTATTCCTCAGGCTACAGCTATCTTTTGTTTTAGGGGATTGTTTTGTCTTGTGACAGGGTCTCAGCTCATCGGCCTGGCTCTTGCTTGCTAGGCCAGGCTGATTGGCTGGGACATATGCCACTGTAGTTGGTTGTTTTCCTCTTTTGGGGGACCTGCCACCCAGCTCCCATATAAAACACAAGGAGGCCTATTATTCCTTATGAATGCCTGGCCTTAGCTTGGCTTATTTCTAGTCAGCTTCTCTTAACTTATCCCATCTACCATTTGCCTTCGGGCTTTTTCCTTTTCTTACTTCTATAATTTCACTTTCACTCTTACTTCGTGGCTGGCTGGGTGGGTGGTTGGCCCCCAGTGCCCTTTCTTTTCTTTCTCTTTCTCTTTCTCTTGCTCCTCGATCCTTGATCTCTCCTCTCAGATTTCTCCTTCTCTTTATTCTCTCTGCCTGCCAGCCCCGCCCATCCTCTCTCCTGCCTTGCTATTGGCCGTTCAGCTCTTTATTAGACCATCAGGTGTTTTAGACAGGCAAAGTAACCCAGCTTCACAGTGTTAAACAAATGCAGCATAAAAGAACACATCTTTGCATCATTAAACAAATGTTCCACAGCATAAACAAATGTAACACCTCTTTAATAATGTTCCACAACAGGCCACCATGTTCTGATTTGTTGTTTGTTTTTCAACCCTTGTTCTGGGAATCTAATCCAGGCCTGTGCTCACAAGGCAGCTTCCTTACTGACTGACGTGTCCCCAGCCCCAGCCTTTCTTAAAGGGTGGTACACTGTGGCCGCTGCAGTGCATCAGTGAGCGTTTTACCGTCGCATCAAGCCTTCTGGATCATCTGCACTTGGCACTGGTCTTTCACCCTGCGTGATTATGTGGCTTTGTCACGGTTCTGTTTCACCCTGCATGATTATGTGGCTTTGTCACGGTTCTGTTTCAGTCTATTCTGACTGTGGTCACGGTGTACTATGGGCCAGCGGGGCATAAACAGCAGGTTCATATCTCCGTGAGGAGAGCAACGGCCCAACACAAGTTCGTGTGTCTGGTGAGACTGCCGTCTGTTTCTGTTTCGCAGATGGTGTCTTTTTGCTCAGTTCTCATGGTGGGCGGCCAAGGAAGCTCCCTGCCCCACCCTCTAGAGACTTACTTGTATTTTTTAATTTGTGTGTTTGTGTGTCTGAGTGTAGTTGCCTGTGGAGGCCAGAAGATGGCGATAGCTCCCTTGGAGCTAGAGTTGCTGAAGTTGTGAACCAATGGGGTTCTGGGAATACAACGTGGGTCCTCTGTAAGAGCAGTATTATGCACTCCTAACCACTGAGACAGATCTTCAGCCTAGTGGTTCTCAACCTGTAGGTTGCTACCCCTTTGGGGGCCACATACCAGATATCCCACATATCAGATATTTACATTATGATTCATAACAGTAGCAAAATTACATTTTGAAGTAGCAACAAAATAATTGGATGGTTGGGGGTCACCACAACATGAGGAACTGTATCGAAGGGTTGCAGCATAGGAAGGCTGAGAACCACTGTTTTAGTCTTTCTGGGACCTCATCCATCAGGGCTTTGGCCCTGTTCATCAGGGTCTCCTCAGGACCTACTCACCTCCCTAAAGTCCTTGTTTCCTAAGAGTTTTCAGCTGTGGACCATCTTCCGAAATGAGAGGAGACAGGCTGGTTCTCTCCTAACAAGGGGTAAGACTTGGCAGGTTTTGTTCGGGGCCGACTGCCATGCGTAGGCGGGAAGGTCAGAGACTAAGTCAAGAGGAAGCTGCTCAGTACTGTGCGAAGCAGATGAAGGCTGGGTGCGTGTTTGCTGTCTGTGGTGAATAACACCACCACTAAGACCACCCTACATCACCGCCAGTCAGAGAAGGCAGGGCAGGGGCTGAGGCAGAGGCCGCAGAAGAGGGTGCTCACCGGCTTGCTCCCCATGGCGTGCTCAGCCTGCTTTCTTACAGCACCCAGGACCACCAGCCCAGGCGTGGCTCTGCCTACAGTGGGCGCCTGGGCCCTCCCCCATCAGTTACTAATTAGGAAAACACCTCACAGACTGGACTACAGGCAAACCTTGTGGAGGCATTTTCCAAATTTGACTCCTTCCCAGTTATGTTTAGGTTGGTGTCAGCTTGACAAGACCAACCGGCCAGACTGGAGCTGGTATCGGCTGGACTTGAGGACAAATGTGGGCAATCTACATGCACTTCTCAGTTCTTAAATACAGTGTGAGGGGCTGTGGAGTCTGCTCAGTGGTAGGAACACTGGCTACTCTTCCAGATGATGTGTGGACTACTGGGGACTTGGACTCTTCATTTTGCCTGTTTGCTTTAAAAAGATAATCACCTTGATACCGTTAGGCAGATCAGCAGCTGGTGAAGAAAGGGAAGAGTAAAGTTGGAGACATGCTGGAGAAAGCCGCCGAGCTGCTGATGAGCTGCTTCCGCGTCTGTGCCAGTGACACGTGAGTCGGGGCAGAGGGCTGTCTGTGCAGGAAATAAGAAAGAGCGTCGCATGCAGGCAGGCCCCGTTTCTGGAGCACGCGCTGATCTGTCCCTGACGAGCTCTCTGCGGTCTGTCTGTCCGATCAGAAGTCTGCACTTACTCCCTGAAACTTCATCTGCCTTCAGTTTTGGAGACCTTGTGCCAGGTGGCCGTGTGGCCGGCCGGCCCTCCCTGTCAGTGTCCCTGGTCGGCTTCTGTGGTTCTGACAGTCGGGCCCTGAGCCTTATTCCTTGGGGTACACTCTGCTTTTCTCCCCTCACTGACTGGGACATTGCCCTTCTATCTAGTGAGATTTTTAGTCTCCTGTAGAAGGTTCATTGAGCTTCTGGATTCTTGAGTTGTTGGTTTCTATTAGACCTTTTTTGTTTTTTATTTTTTCGAGACAGGGATTCTCCCTGTAGTCCTGGCTGTCCTGGAACTCACTCTGTAGACCAGGCTGGTCTCCAATTCACAAAGATTCACCTGCCTCTGCCTCCCGAGTGCTGGGATTAAAGGTGTGTGCCACCATGTCCAGCTGTAATAAGCTATATATTTCCAAAATCTTCAAGGAAAAAAAGAAGATGGGTAGTTAGTGAGCAGGAAGAAAGCTGCTCAGCATCACCAGTCACCGAGGAAACAGGCAGGGTCCGAGGAGAGCTGTTTCCTTGTACCGTTACGGTGGCCACGATCACAGGAAGACGGTGTACTGCTGGTGGGCAGAGCGTTTGGCTCTTCTTGGAACATTAGCCTGAACTTCACATGTGCCCCAGCATCCAGAGGTTGTGACTGTGTCATGTGTCGCCATGGCCCAGGCCCAGGTCAGCAAGGTGTTAGCATGTGACATACCAGCGCTTGCCTGTGCATTCCCTGATGCCTAGATTTGCTTTCTGGGTTTGTATTTCCGCTGTGGCTCTTCTAGGAGATTGAACATAGAAATCGTGTGTGAGGACAGTGAACTAGAGAGCAAGAGCATGTGTCTTAGGGGCCCCAGTCAGTTATACAGGCTATCTGAAAGTGCTGATACAGCAGCTAGCTAGGCAGCTGCCATGAAACAGGCTTTGCTGTGTGGAAGTGGGTGGCACTTCACGCCAGCGTCATTGTGGGCGCATTCTAGACAGTTCACCTCCCTGCCCTGAGAGCCAGCTGGTTTCTGCTTCGTGTCCTGAGTTTGTGCTCTGAGTCTCCTGTTCTGGGAGCTGCCATTGGGCCAGCACCCGTTGAGCACAAGTTGTGTGCCTGAGGAGACACTTGCAAGGAAAGCACACGACTCATTGAACGCTGACTCCTGTTCTTCCCATGTTTATCACGGAAATCTACAAACGTTCAGCAGAGCTGGGCTAGCTTTACAGTGACGACTCAAAGTACCACTTCTGTGAGTTTGTTACACTCGTGCCTGTGTGTCTGTTCACCTCCTCTCCCTGTCCATCTGTCAGACTGTCTCGGTATTTCTCTTCATCCTTTTTCCTTTAAAGCACACCTCATGTACCTGTCCCTCCAAGTGCTCGTTTCCTGTTTGCTTCTTGGGGTGAAATGGACCCCAGTAGTGTGCTTGCTGAGTTTTGACATTGGTGCCTTAGGCAGGGCCTGGTCACAGTGTCCTGGCATTTCCTCATGAGGACGTCTTGGTTGTACTTAGTTGTGACCTCACCTGCTGGAACTTGTGCAGTGAATTGTCACTCCATGGCTCCCTCCTGGAGCTCCCCCTCATGTATTTAAGGAGTTTCGTTGTTGTAGTAGAGAAAATGTTCTTTTCGTCTTTCAGAAATGCTCCCTAACAGTTTCCTTTGACACAGTTTTGTTGGTGCCACAGAGGGGCCTCTGCCTCTTTAACTGGGAGTAGAACTCTTGGGTGGCCTTTTCTTTTCTTGGTGGGTGTAGTGAACTTACTGATGCTGTTGAAGAGAATAGGACTCTGAGGCCCTCCCTGTGGGACGGAAACTGGGAAGAAGCTCCCAAGTGTCAGCAGCTGAGTTGAGGCAGGGATACCCCAGCAGCGGAGGTCTCTCTCCCTCTTGTGTCCTTGCTGGGTTGGTGGTCCAGTGCTTCTTACTCCCTGGAGGCCGTGCAGGCCACGAGGTCCACCACCCTATTACTGTATCCATTTTTGTTATCATACCAAGAAATAATGTAACACCCAGAAATGATCTTTACGAAGTTGTCATGGAGAGCAATGCCAGCCCCAGCATCAAAGGTAAAAGAGTGGTGTCACTGTTAAAGTCCCAGGAGACAGCCTGGCCCTCACTGCTGCCCCGGATGCCCGCTAGTGGGCCTTCCCGTGCCTGCTTCACCACTTTTCTTGGTGTCATTATACTTGGCAGCTTTCTCCAGGTGGCATGTCAGATCCACGGCAGACACTGGGGTGGCAACACAGAAGACCATGTCGCTGAGCATCCTCTTCTGTTCTTGGGCGACCTTGTTCACAGTCTTGGCAGCACCAGTGAATCCAGGGATGATACTTTGTGTCACGGCACAGCCATTACACCACAGCTTCCCAGAGGAGCTGTCCACAGTCCTCTAGGAGCTGTCCACAGTCCTCTGGGTGGCAGTGATGGCATGGACTGTGGTCAGGAGTCCTTCCACAGTGCCAGAGTTGTCGTGGATGACCTCGGCCAAGGGGGGCTAAGGGGAAGGAGGCTTTGCTGACAAACGTGAGTGAGTGTCATACTTGTCATGGTCCACACTCATCCCAGTCACGGGTACATCAACATAAGAGCAGGTGAGATGGCCCCTTTTGGCCCCACTCTCAAGGGAAGACAACAGTAGACTCCACAGCATAGTGGGCATCAGCACATCCCAATTGTTGTTTGCTCCTGGGAGATGGATGTGGCCTTCCCATTGATGCCAGGTTTCCTGTTCTCAGCCTTGACTGTGCCCTGCAACTTCTGTGGGTGGAGTCATACGGGGACATGTAGACCTTGTAGTGGAGGGGCCATTGATGGCAGCAATATCCACAACAGTGCCAGAACTGAAGGCTGCTCTGGTGAGCAGGTGCCCGATAGAGCCCTGTCCATTCACTCCAGTCTCCCTGTTGTGTGCTGGGAAGAGGCCGGCACTGCAGCTGTCTCTGGGGCAGGGAGGACCAGGGCTGTTCTCCCCTTTTTAAATGGTACCTACCAGGCACGCTTTTCATGTGCTCTTCCGTTTGGTGACGGTGGCTTGAACTGTGGGGGCTATCTCAGGACAGTGATTTGTCCTGGCGGTTTGTTTGGTAATTGTCCGCCTTTCTTTGCTCTTCCCGTAGTCGCGCTGGCATAGAGGACTCTAAGAAGTGGGGGATGCTGTTCCTGGTGAACCAGCTGTTCAAAATCTACTTCAAGGTTGGCTTTTGCATGGATTTTGTACCGAATTTATTCCCTATCTGCCCAGATAAACGATTTGTTTAGTTTGCCTCGTGACATTCGTAAATTATCCTAACCACAGCCATGTTAATAATCCTAATAGCTGGCAGTCATTCAGTGTCTCCCAAGAACAAGGCTCTGTTTTAAATACAACGACTAGAGCTCAATGGAGAAAACCTGCCCAGCATTCTCAAGAACCAGGGTCCATGCCCTGCCACAAAAGCAAATAACAGTTGAAGATCTGACTCGGGAAAGCTCTCAGGAATGCAACTACCCCAGACAGAAGGCCCTGAGCACTGAGTGACCAGCCCTGTGAGGACTGAGACCCTGAGCACTAGGTGACCAGGCCTGTAGGGACTGAGGCCCTGAGCACTGAGTGACTGGTTCCTGTGAGGACTGAGGCCCTGAGCACTGGGTGACCAGGCCTGTGAGGACTGAGACCCTGAGCACTGAGTGACTGATCCCTCCCTGTGAGGACTGAGATCCTGAGCACTGAGTGACCAGCCCTGTGGTGGAGCTGACCTCTGGGTATAGGTGTCCCCTCTCTGGAGCCTTTTGTCCTGTGTTCTAATGTCAACTCTATGGAACTAGGGGTATGTAGACATACGGATGGACAAAGGGTTTGTCCATAAATCAAGTATGTGGAGGGCAGCCTGCCATACTTCATTGTCTGAGAACCTGTCTCACATCATAGGGCCTTTAGTTTGTCCTTGCTGTGTGGTCTAAGTGCAGGCTTTTAACTGGGCCTTGGCTCTGACTCCCCTTCAGAGGTACCTCCCCTCACAGAGCTCCAAGCTTCTAGAGTGTGTGCTGTCCATAGCAGGACGTTTCTTGTTTTTTACCGAAATTTTGATGATTTTGAAATTCATGTTGAGAAAGTAAAGCAGTTCATGCCTGTTCGTCCATCTGCCTGTGCTGTTGATATTGTTCATGAATATTTAAGTGGTTTCTTCTTTATTCTAGATCAACAAACTCCATCTGTGTAAGCCCCTTATCAGAGCCATTGACAGCTCCAATCTGAAAGATGACTACAGCACTGCACAGAGGGTCACCTACAAGTACTACGTCGGCCGCAAGGCCATGTTCGACAGCGACTTCAAGCAAGGTGTGGTGACAGTTCTATCCCAGTGTCTGAGATGACACACGTGCGTTCTGTCCAGTGTCTGAGATGACACACGTGTTCTGCCCAGTGTGTGAGATGACACACACGCTCTGTCCAGTGTTTGAGATGACACACGTGTGCGTTCTGTCCAGTGTTTGAGATGACACACGTGCGTTCTGTCCAGTGTTTGAGATGACACACGCG